AAATACATCATGTCTAAGTGAGCGTTGGGCCCTGAACAAGGGTGGACGGGTGTCGAGGAGCAAAAAAGTGATGATGGCTAGGGCTTTCCTCAAATTACTGACTCAGGTGGAGAGTTGGCCAGGCTAGCGTCTGAATCGTGCAAACACGTTGCAATACCGAATTTCCATTGTCCTTCTAAAACTGCCAACAGCCCTCTATATCTAGAGGCCAGCAATGCTTCCTCGGTCGTGATGGACGTGTCATGAGGAATAATCAGCAGAACCCGATCGTTGATTTGCCTCTCTAGCACCTGGACCTGCCGCAATGGAGCAAGTCCCTACCACTCCTCCCGACGCTGTACCTTTGTCGAAACAGCCTCCCCCCGAAACACCCGAAGCTGTGAGCCTGCGAACAAAGATTGTACTCTCCTTCTGGGTGGTGATTATACTGCTGGGACTCCCAGTATGGTGGCAAACCACCTCGATCTATCGGGCAAGCCTGCCACTGCAGGACATGCTGGACTGGGCAGACGGACTTGTAAGCCACACACACCAGTATCGCAGGCGGGTCGATGCTGATCACAGACTCTAGAATACACCCACAACGATTCCTCTACATATCTGGCTCTCTGCCTCCAACCTACCTTGCTCAGACGCCCAGAAACTGGTACAGGACACCCAGCGAGCCCTGGATGACCTCAACGAGTACCCGACCTTCCACCAGAGACTTCACCTGGTCAATTTAGGACGGGATGGCCAGGGCGCTGGTGGAAAGAGAGAGACAATGGGCGCGAGCTGCGGTGAGGATCCTGCATCCCTACACCATGGAACGCCCGCTCTGAAGATTCTCCTTGAACCGACTGAGGGTAACTTTGCATTCACTCTCGACGCTGTCACGGCGACTGCACGTGCCAGTATCCCCTCAGGTCTTGGGGGAGACATTGCCAAAATTCTTGCCGAAAGCCTCTATGCACTATTTAGAGAAGAACAAATTGCAGCTGCGCTTCAGACTGTCTCTCTAACCAGTCACGGTCACAATGCACAGGCATTTCTGAGATCTCAACCCTACGATGTCGTTGTCAAAGTCGAAAAGCAGCTCAATCGAGCATACAAACCGTCTCCCGAATTCCATCTCACCTTTTCTCTGCTCACGGCCAGCGGTGCTCCTGCAGGGTGGGACATTGACGAAGCACTCCGAGACCACATTGGCCCTCTGGTACAAGCACTCTCGTCGATTGCCGATTTCGAGATCCAGACCCAGGTGCAACTATATTCGACTCTCCCTCCCACCATCCAACCGACTCGCCGAGAAGGACAAAACGGCACTTTCCTCCAGCAGAACGAGCTCACAGCGTTTGTGAATTCTGCAGAGTGGCCTCTAGCGCCTTCCATTGGAGATGGACCTACGCTCAACTTCATCCTCTATGTCCCAGCCAGGGATCAGATACCTCTGCGCGTCGATGGGGTTGACGAAAATTCGTGGCTGATTCCTCAATGGGGAGGCATACAAATTCTCAATCCACCTCTGTACCTGCACGCTGTCCACGGCAACATGGTACCTGCTTATCTTGATCTAGAGCTCTTGCACCTGCCCTTCGAGACATTTGCCTTGCAATTACTGTCCTTGCTGGGGGTTTCGCATCCTGGTGATCCTGGTCCGCCACGGCCGCTTCAGCTACGACTCGACGCCTACAAACGCCTATCAGCTCTTTCCCTTTCCCTACATGCCGCGTCTAGTCTGGGATCGCTTGCTCGACTGGCTCAACGACTCAGCAACATTCCAATCCCGAGACACGTCGCTCAGCTAGTTGACGACTCCATTGCCAACCTCAAAGCGTGTTGCATATTCTTGCTCGAAGGCAGATTCGATCTCACTCTCGAACATGCGAAAACTGCCTTCAAAGACAGCGAAAAGGCGTTTTTCGACAAATCCATGGTCGGCCAGGTCTACTTTCCCGACGAGCACAAAATCGCCGTGCTCCTTCCACTCTTGGGCCCTGTCGGAGTTCCGCTGATTGTTGGCCTCTTGAGGGAAGTCAAACGGGTCCTCTCGACGCGGCGAGCAGCCAAAGTAGGCGCACACTAGAAGAGAGCAATGGCATCCACCAAATGACCCGGAAAGTGCTTCGAGCCAAAAAGCTAAACCAGTGTCTGGTATACATCTCCAGCAGGGTCAAATATGAATCATGATGACCTTGCTGTTCGGCTTGGTGCATTTTACGGGAATTGTGTTGGTCAGTGCACCGACTTTGAGCTGCCTAATTTGGCAGCTCGATAAGTCTGCTCGTCTGCAATGTTGTGGGGTAGCGCCTTGCCCGACTGTATCGATGCAGATCAAGACAAAGGCATCAGCCAATTGCAGAGCAACCTTTTTGCAATGGCCCCGGCTTATCGACCAGGTGGACACTGATCGACGCGTGTATTCAGGATGCTCTCTCTCAAGCTATCTGTGTGGCAACTTGTGCATAATCCGTGATCCGGGCCTGCAAGCCGCTCTCGACTCAAAAAGAGCACAAAGAGCTTCCCGTCGGCCTCATTCTGCGCATTACCTTCATCGTGTCCGACTTTCACCAACATGGCGTTTGGATCAGTATACCGACTGCTGGGAGTCCTGCTGGTTTCACTGTCGCTGAATACTCTGACCGCTGCACGCTCATGTTGGAATCAGCGCACGGCAATTAATGGCACTGATTTTCCCCCATTGATCGAGGCCACCACAGAAGACCTCATCCGCGGGCTGGAATCGGGCCTGTTCACAAGCGTCGATCTTGTCACAGCATACATTGCACGCATCATGGAAGTCAACGCGACTTTGCATGTGGTGACCCAGCTCAACCCAGATGCCCTTTCTATCGCCGCAGAACTCGATGGGCAACGTGCGCAAGGCATCGTTGGTGGTCCACTCCATGGTATACCGATACTGATCAAAAACAATATTGCTACTGCTGATGAAATGGACAATACTGCCGGCTCTCATGCGCTTGCCGGTGCCAAGGTTCCTCGAGACAGCACAATTGCCGCCAATCTGAGGAAGGCTGGGGCTGTGATTTTAGGGAAGACCAACTTGAGCCAATGGGCGAATTACCGATCGTTCAATACTAGCAACGGCTGGTCTGCCATCGCAGGGCAGACGGTCGGTGCTTATTATCCTGGTCAAGATCCCAGTGGTAGCAGTTCTGGCAGCGGCGTTTCTTCTTCGTTGGGACTGGCCTTGGCTGCCTTGGGCACTGAGACGGATGGCAGCATTCTGAGTCCTTCGGACGTCAACAATCTTGTTGGAATCAAGCCTACTGTTGGATTGACGTCTCGTGATCTGGTTGTTCCCGTGAGTGGCCCGCGCATACGACATGCGATCCGTGTTCGATATCCCAGCACATCAACGTCGATTCACTGTTCCCGTCAGGGCACTGACTGCATCTGCTTCAGATATCTGAACACCAAGACACTGTTGGGCCCATGGCTCGGACCGTCAAAGATGCGGCCTACGTTCTGTCAGCGATAGCGGGAAAGTCTCCATACGACAACTACACATCTGCAATTCCCTTCGACACCATTCCTGACTACGTAGCGGCATGTAACTTTTCGGCCCTGCAAGGAAAGAGGATTGGCGTACCACGGAACCTCATTGATCTATCTTTGTCAGTATCCCTGTCCTGACCGAAGTGACACGGATCAAACGGTCAACATTCTATATCGGTACAGAGCTAATCTCTGTCTGTAGTGACGCAACTGCTGCACCAATCGTTCCTGTCTTCGACGCTGCCCTAGACGTCCTTCGTGCTGCAGGAGCGACCATCATTGATTACACCAACTTCACTGGCTATGACGCTCTCAATGAAGGCAACTTCTCCAACATCGTCCTGGAAGCGGATTTTATCAGTGATCTTGCCAACTATCTCTCGCAGCTCTCGCACAATCCCAACCATGTCTACTCTGTGGCAGACGTTCGCAACTTTACTCATTCATTTCCTTTGGAGGATTGGCCTGAGCGTGACACGTTAGTCTGGGACGGCGCGCTGGAGCTGGGCTTCAACAACACGTCGCCAAACTTTTGGTCTAACTATACCATGAACACGTATCTGGCCGGTCCACTTGGGGTCACAGGCGCGCTTGCCAACTACTCCTTGGATGCTCTGGTGTTGCCAACGGAGTTCTCGCCCAATTTCCCTGCTCTGATTGGCTCACCCGTCGTAACAGTACCTCTCGGAGCGTTCCCTCCCGACACAGCAGTTACTCCCAACGACTTTGGTAATCTGAATGCCACCGCACCTAATCTCCCTTTCGGAATCAGTTTCATGGGGCCACATTTCAGTGAAGAGTTGCTCATCGGGATGGCATACGCCTTTGAGCAGAGAACTCTGGTCCGAAACACCATCACGCCCTATATTCAAGCCACGGTGGAGCTTGTGGACGTGGTCAATGCGAAGCTGAGCAAGACGCGGGACTAGATGTGGCGGAGGTAGGCTTACTACGGCAAACTTGCTTGGCATCCCCGAAGTGGGCATTTTCGATCCAGCGCTTTTTGGGCCTTTCTCCTATAAAGGGTGTGCGATCGACCACTCCAAAATGCTAGAGAGGCAGGAGGCGTCGACACTAGTCGCTTGAGGATGCGAGGTCTAATCACTGCAAGCCGAAATGTCGTATGACAAAGGAAAATCCGAGTGATGTCCGTAGTTTGTTCCGACTCGACCCAGCCTTGTGCAGCCTCGTGCAGCCTGGTTTAGCCGGGTATTGCGGGCCAATCACAAGCCAGCCAATTCGATTGTCTCTGAGGTCGATCATGATTGGTGGGAAGAATGGTGAATTCAACCTCGGTTTCATTGACAACAAGACAAAATGTCCGAGAAGTTGGAGTTCATGTTAAATGTCCCAAAGTCCACGCGCTGCTGCCTCTCTCATTCTTAAAGAAGTTCTTTGTTTTGTGGGAGCGTTGAGCGAATATTGACTGACGGGATACGTTAATTCCTCGCTCGCCTACCTTCCTGAGTCTTTTCTCCATTGACATCATCTCACATACAGCCATGGCGCAAAAGGCATCTCAGACGATCCCCAGCAAGACGCATACCCGCGCAGAGGTTGCATCGCATAACACTGAGGACGATGTGTGGTGCATCGTAAGTTCGCTTTAGACCTAGAGCACCTGTTACCAAACACATCACTCTAGCAACCTCCAGTTTTTGTCGACGCGTTTGTCGAGCGCTGACTGACTGTCTCAAACTCTCAGATCGACCACAAAGTTTACGACCTGACAGACTTTCTCGGTGCGTTTGCTGCTCCCTCTTTGACGAAATCACACAGCACTTTCTGCAGCTGGCTGGTCGTGACTCAGAGAGAATGTATGGGGCTGACAACAGCGCTGCAATAGATGCCCATCCCGGTGGCAATGTCGTTCTGCAACAGGTCGCCGGCCAGGACGCCACGACGGCCTTCTACAACCTCCACCGCCACGAGGTTCTCCAGAAGTACGCCAATCTCTGCATCGGCACGGTCCAAGGCGAGACGCCCGAAGTCATCGATCCACAGCCGGGCGATCTGTCGAGGGTGCCGTACGCGGAGCCGCTGTGGCTGACCCCCCAGTTCAAAACGCCCTACTACAACGCCTCGCACCGTGCCCTCCAAAAGGCCGTGAGAGAGTTCGTGGACCGCGACATCTACCCCGAAGCCCAAGAAAAAGAACTCGACGGCACCTACGTCTCACAGGAACTGGTCGATAAGATGGCCTCGAACGGCCTCCTCGCCATGCGACTCGGGCCCGGCAAGCACCTCCACGGCCGCAAACTGCTCGGCGATGTCAAGGGCGAGGAATTCGACTATTTCCACGATTTGATCGTCGCACAAGAGCTCTCGCGCGCCCTGGCAAGAGGCTTCCAGGACGGAAACATGGCGGGCATGATGATCTCGTTGACGGCCGTCAGGCAGTGGGCAAATGATTCTGCGTTGAAAGATAAAGTCACCGAGGAGTGTTTGAGCGGGAAGAAGTTCATGTGCCTTGCCGTCACCGAGGCGTTCGCGGGTAGCGATGTTTCGGGAATCAGGACAACTGCCACAAAGACTGAGGACGGCAAATATTACATGTGAGTTCTTTTTTTTGGTTGAGCTTGTTGTGCAAATGGGTTATAGTGACTGACTTCTGTGCCAGAATCAATGGGACAAAGGTGACACCGAATCGATGCACTCTAAATTGGATTCGGTAAGCTAACATGGTCGCAGAAATGGATCACCAACGGCATGTTTGCGGACTATTTCGTCACGGGGTGCAAGACCGAAAAGGGATTCAGTGTCATCCTGGTCCCGCGGGACGACAACATCGAGACCAAACGCATCAAGACATCATATTCCACGGCGGCGGCCACGACATTCGTCCAATTCGACAATGTCAAGGTGCCGGTGAACCATCTCCTGGGCAAGGAGGACAACGGCTTCATCGTCATCATGAGCAATTTCAACCACGAGCGCTGGGCCATGGTTTGCTTCGTGACACGGTGGATGCGCACCATTGTGGAAGAGTGCCTGAAGTGGACGAACCAGAGGATCGTCTTTGGGAAGCCGCTGGTGACCCAACCCGTGATCCGACAGAAACTCGCCAAGATGATCTCGCAGACCGAGGCGTGCCAGTCGTGGCTCGAGACCATCACTTACCAAATGAACCAGATGGACTATGCCCAGCAGTCGAAGCTGCTAGGCGGGCCGATTGGGCTGTTGAAGTCGTACGTGACGCGGTGCGCGCACGACGTGGCCGACGATGCCGTCAACATCTTTGGCGGCCGCGGCATCACCCAGACGGGCATGGGCCGCTTCGTCGAGCAGTTCCACCGAACGTACAAGTTCGACGCCATCTTGGGCGGTACCGAGGAGATCCTGGCCGATCTCGGTGTGAGGCAGGCCATCAAGGCGATGCCCAAGGCTATGCTGTGATTCGGTGTATTTTGGAGGGTGGTCACGGCGGCGTTGGATCCTCGGCTTTTGGGACGTGTGTAAAAGATGAAAGAGTAGCGCCATGACCGGATACATTGTGTCTTGTTACATATATACCTCGTGTGTATTTCATCCTGGCCCCCCTCGTGTGATTCCTGTTGTCACCCAGACACCTTTCCCAGTGGACTGCGGAAGGGGCGACGAGGTTAATTACAAGCACCGCAAGTCATACAGCACGTAGTTCGCGGCCGCATCGAGGAAGGAAGGAGGAAAGAAGCTCCAAGTAGAGAGCGGCGGATCTCATACCTCGTACCTCCTTCTACTCGTGATGTAATTGTATGGCTAATAAGGATGAGCGGGAAGAGAGAGAGAGAGAGAGTGGAGACTGAGCGCGAATCCATTGCCATTCACGTCTTCCTCTCTTTACTCTCTTACTACATACATACCTATTCGTACCGAGTAGTCATAGGTATTACGGGATCACGTATATAATAGACCTGGGAAGTAATGCTCCGAGGGCTCGTATCGACCGATCGACCAGAAGTAGTAAGCTGATGTCAGTCTCATATTGGCCGTTTGCGTGGCTGGCTATGTGCAAGAAACTGTACTTGCACTTGTATTTGTGCCCGGTGGTTGACTGACTGATCACGTACAAGGCACCCACAAGGCGTAGGCGTGGCGGCGGCGATATTTTCCGACAAAAGCGTTTCGCCATGTCTCGCCTCGTCTCGTATCTGACAGCCTGGTTCGTTCGTTGCCAGTCAAATCCCAAATATCGCACGCCTTCTCTAGTCTTTGTCAGGATGACGATGACCGTCTGTCCCACCCGTCGTGCGCTCGTACATGTGCCATGACCCTCCTCCTCCTCCTCCTCCTCCTCCTCCTCCTCCTCGTCGTAGGTAGAGTTCTCCGTACCTGACGCTCCACCGTTCCACCGGCTCCACCGCTCCGCCGCTCCGATATATATCCCCCCGTGCCGTCACGTAGATAGATACACCATCCGCTGAGTCCTTACGAAAAGTGTGGGAGAAGCCGCCGCCATGTAACCGAGGTGGACGGCGAACGGCGAACGTCGAACGTTGGTGAGCTGATGCACTCTCCCAAAATTTGAAAATTCATCTCTCTCTGCTGGCTGCCCATCTTGGGGATTAAAAGCATGAAATGTGTCGAGTTTGGCTACTCTCGCTCGGCTCACTCTTGTGTGAAAACTTGGGCTTTGTCTTTTGGTGCTGACTGCCCAAAAAAAAGTGTGCGGGATAGTCGTCCGGCTTCCCTCGCTGTGCAATCTGTCTTCATCTCTCACTCGCTACCAGCCTGGGGCACCGGATAGCAACCAGGGTAGCACTTATCAAAATCTCTAGCTCAGAAAGATGCCCGACCATTTAGACCAGCCTTCGACGCTTGCAGAGATTCATGGGCAGCCACCAGTTCATAGCGAGGAAGAGCAAGAACATCGAGTGCAGCAACCTCAGACAAAGGACAACACAGCCTGGATGGCAGCCGGAGCCTTGTCGTGGTCACCACTGCTCAGCCTCCCGTACGAGCTCAGGCAAAGGATTTTTCAGTACGTGTTTATGGCCTCGTCTGCAAATTTCCCACCTCAAGTACGCTCTCCGTCAAGGGCCCCAAACGCGGTGGGGGATGGATACAACGTCTTGGGTCCCGGATCGAGCACAAGAGGTGGAAACCATAAGATTGTGCAGTCCCTTCTTGTATGCCGCCAGCTCTACCAGGAAACACGCCTGATCCCTTTCCAAGTCAATTGTGTCAAGTGCCCGGCGGTGATGGGATCGAATACCCTGGCAACAAAGCGTCTCATAGATGCTCTGCAGCCCTTTCAGCGACGAGCGATCCGAAGGCTGGAGCTGCACCTGCTGGCGAGTGTGACGGAAGCATGGTCCCTGAGGTCGATTCTGAGGTCAATAGCCGGGGTTACGGAGACAGAGACTAACTGCACCATGCGCGAGAGCGGTGGCGGCACTGATGACAAGATCAGCTTCGGTGACAATGCGGAAACCGGCAAAAAGCCAGAAAAGGACTCGAATACCAGCTTGAGAGAATTGTCGGTCCATATGACCACACGAGACCTGCTGTTGGCGCAGGCGGACTCAATGGTGGGGTTGCTGCACATGTTGATGGTCGCGCCTTTCTCTCAAGAACGTCCTTCCACTGCATTCGCGTGGACGGCGGCGTGGGTCACCGAGGGTCTAGCCTTTCTTGAATCCCTGAGGGAATTGACCATTGTCGTTGAGTCCAGTCTATCGGTGGCAAAACAGCTCGCTGCCAACGAGAGATGGCAATTCGAGCAGACCCTCAAATCGTCGTTGCCGAGCGTCGAGGTGAAGGTCGAATGGAGATTGCACCGCGATATCAACTTGGAAAAGGATGACGGCGATTGGGTCAATTTCCTCTGGGTGCACGATTCAAACATAGGTGCGCCTGAGCACGGAGCGACTGAGTCTGGTCTTAGACGCAACGATGGGGTTTCCAGTTGGACATACATTGTGCCCTGAGACCCGGCAGCCCTCGAATAAAGCCATGATATACCCAGGTGGTGATCACCGTCCAGTTGTCATGAATTTGTGCAACGCTTCCAAACTCAGCTGACTGGCGGTTGGCAAAGTAGATCTCGTTTCTGTGGACGCTGTGTTGGCCTCAATCTTTGGTGCTTTTTGTTCGACGTCCATTTTGTCTGCATCCTCGTCCTCACCCTCCTCGTCGCTGACCTCGTATTCTTCCTCTTCTTCAGGCCCATCATCGTCCTCGTCATCAGGAGGTTCGACCAGTTGCCTGCGTAGCCCCGTGGATACGTTCTCTACGCCTTTCTGCTTCTCGTCCAAAGTGAAGTCGGCACCCCATTTCTGCTTCCGAGCTGCAGCATTGGCCGCTCCAGGTGCCCATTGCCAAAGACCGTTGCGGTCATTCTCCGACAGCCCTCGAAACGTGGCTTTGTGCTGTTGTGCATTGATGTTCTCCCCCTCTTCCACCCACTCTTCCACATTGGGTTCTAGCTTTGTTCGAAGGAGGGTCTCGAGAATGAAGGCTCGTTGAGTTCCTGGAAATCTGGGTGTGGGAAAGGCAACGGTAGACTGATATGTGTCCCGATTCTCCGCTAGTTGAGAGACAATGGTCTGCAGGTTGTTAGAGACGAGGTTTGCATGTAGTTGGAGGGCTGGCCTGTGATGCAGTTAGCGAGAGCCAGTCGGAAGAAGAAGCGTCTCTACCAGGTGGGAAGTTGGTTTTGAGTCACGAGCTCCGATCCCAGAGCGACCAGGGACTTATGGAGAGCTAAGAGTCTTTGACGCGTTTGATCCAAGGATCTGACCTGATCTGTCGTGAGCTCAGCCATATCGTCGAGTTTGGAGTTTGTAGTAATGTTGTGGACGCGAGTGGTCAGTTGATGAGGGACAGATTCAAACTCCGCACTCCAAGCTTCTTGGAAAGTTGGACTTCGCTCTTCACCCTTCACACCACCTCGTGTAGTTCAATGAACCCCCTACGATTCCCGCCAGCTTAGATCACCGCCGTTATGGCTGCTGCTCCGGCAGCAGGCCGATTGTCCGGATCTGGCTATCGCGTCTGTTCAAGCTGCATCGCACGATGTCTTCGTCAACCGTCGCGACCGCACAGCACTTTGAGATCTGTCCTGCAAGCAAACCGGAAGCTCCACAGTGGCATAATCCCGGGTGAAAGACCCTCGAGAAGCGCAATTGTTCAGTCACAGAGCTTTGTGGACGACTATTTCTCGGCCAACACGTCGATTGAGAGAGGATGGATCAAGAATGGGATGCTGGCTGCGGTACGCACGGTGGCGGAACCGACAGGACGAAGGGAAAATGATGTGTCTGGCGAAGTCGCACGGATGCGGACACAAGGAGAACTGGAAAAGGCTCTGTCTTTCAAGGCAGAGCCTCCGAGTCAAGAAAATCAGAGCGCCCAAACTGGTCCGGAAGCTAGCAAAGCTGTGGAGGATGGTGAACCAGAGGCAGATGTACTCCCACACAGAAGACGGAAGAGACGAAAGAACACCGAGAATGCGTCCGAGGAATCTCTTCCGTTGGACGCTTCATCCCAATTGACAACTGCTGCCACCGCAATGCCCAAGTCAGCCGTCTTCCGACGCAGGCTGGCCACCTTCCTCTCACTCACCAAACCGCGACTATCCTTCCTGATCCTACTCACGACCACGTCGGCATACAGTCTATATCCACTCCCTGAAATCCTGTCTTCCACATCCTCGTCGGCAACTTCATCACTTTCCACTTCGACCTTGACATTACTGTTCCTCACTTCTGGCACGTTTCTGTCGTGCGCCTGTGCCAACACCCTCAACATGCTTTTCGAGCCCAAATACGACGCTCTCATGTCTCGCACCCGAAATCGGCCTCTCGTGAGAAAGCTGGTCTCTCCGCGTGCTGCCGCCCTGTTTGCGTTGGTCTGCGGTGCGTCTGGCCTGCTTCTCCTCGGCCTGGGTACCAACCCGACAGTGGCCGGTTTGTCGGCCCTCAATATATTCCTGTACGCTGGGGTCTACACTCCAATGAAGAGAATCTCAGCGGCGAACACGTGGGTGGGCGCAATTGTGGGCGGCATCCCTCCTTTGATGGGCTGGTGCGCCGCTGCGGGCGAAGCTGCGACATCTGAACATCATTCATGGCAAGATCTACTCTTTTCGGAGAACTCGATAGGAGGCTGGGCATTAGCGGCCCTCTTGTTTGCCTGGCAGTTTCCTCACTTCATGTCCTTGTCGCACACCATTCGAGAAGACTATCGAAATGCTGGCCACAAGATGCTGGCCTGGACGAATCCTGCTCGAAACGGACGTGTTGCTTTGAGGTACTCCTTGGCCATGTTCCCCATATGCGCGCTGCTCTATTCTACGGGATATGTGGACAAAGGCTTCCTCGTCATCAGCACGGCATGCAATGTGTGGATGACTCGGGAGGCGTTCCGCTTCTGGAAACAGCAAGGGGCTGGGGGAAGTGCCAGGGGGCTCTTCTGGGCGAGCGTATGGCAGCTTCCTCTTGTGCTGGTTGGAGCTCTGGTGTGCAAGAAGGGGTTGTGGGATGGCTTCTTCAGCACCGATGAACCCGCCAGTATCTACGAAGAGGGTGATCTCGAAACTGACGGCGACGGTCTTGGGATGGATCCATCAAAGGCTCGGCAAAGGCCGCCACCACCTGACATTAATTTGGCTATGATGGGGTTCAAGAGACCAACTTGAACCCAACAACGGAAGCTATTTCTTTTCCACAACAAGGCGTTTTCCTGGACATGGACGAGATGTATTCTTGCAACAACTGAGACATGATTTCGCAGACATGACAGACATTTGGACCGGCGTATATTGTACCGAGTTCGCAGTACGACCCGCATCAACACGGAGCGAGCGGACAAGCACATCTCCGCTTGCTCGCCGGAATAGATCTGCAAGGCACAGCGAGGCACGCACTGCACGGGAATGCACGGCAAAGCACAGCAGTAGATGTGCTGTGGCGTCATGAGTCTGCAGATCGCCGTTTTCAACCTTTGAATTACACTCTCCTCGACACACAATGCGGGGAAGAGTCAGTGTTGATCCAACATTCAATGGAACTCTACCAGTTCAATAGCCGTCAGCTCAAGCGGGCAAATGTAACATATCCCACGGGCGTGCATGCAGAATACTATGAATTGTTATAACGACACCTCCCGGTGCTGCCTTCCTTACTTTCGACCCCTTCCATCTTTTCGCGTTCGGTCCTCCCTTGACTTACATTCTCTGTGGAACCACAATGCCTTCCAAGTTCGGGTTGTTCACCGCCAGAAGCAGCTCGCTTTTTCTTGCGCTGCTTCTGCAGAACGTGAGGGCGGCAAGCCTGAGCTACAATGGCCTCGCTCAAACACCTCAAATGGGCTGGGTAAACTCCCGTCGGCACTCAATCAACCTGCTGAAAACATATTGACCACTGGCTCGTGACAGGATACATACAATGCTTATGGCCTCGCATACAACGAGTCCACAATCCTCACCAATGCCGAGCGCCTGGTGTCCCTCGGTTTCCGTGATCTGGGCTACCGTGTCGTCATCTTCGACGATGCCATGACGGAGCTCAATCGCAGTGCGGATGGCACCTTGGTTGCAAACGCTGCAAAATTCCCCTCGGGCCTCCAGAATATTGCCAATCAACTCCACGACTATGGACTGTATTTTGGCGTGTACAGCAGTGCGGGCAAATACAGTTTGTCGCCCGCCTTTTTGTCACGCCCCTCCTAGCACTAACCAAATTTTCGCTGGAATCGACAGCTTGCGGAGGATACCCTGGAAGCCTGGGGTACGAGACTCAGGATGCCGCATGGTGGGCAAGCATGGGTGCAGACTATCTGAAATACGACAACTGCTACAACGAAGGCCTCTCGGGCACACCGAAGCTGAGCCAAGGTCGCTACGCCGCCATGTCGAACGCCTTGAACGGTACAGGTCGGGACTTTGTGTATTCGCTGTGTAATTGGGGAGACGACAAACCTTGGTGAGTTCTTCCTTTCACCAGGCGATTTGGCCTGTCCCAGACTGACCACAGCAATAGGGAGTGGGCGTCCACCATCGCCAACAGTGCCCGCATCTCGGGCGACATCCAGGACAGCTTTTCCATGCCTACGACGTCGTGCCCGTGTGGTCCCGACGAGTACTACTGCCAGCTGCCCGGCTATGGCTGTTCGGTCATGAACATTCTCGGCAAGGCGAGCTCCATCCGGAGCAAAAACCAAGCGGGATACTACAACGACCTCGACATGCTCGAGGTTGGAAACGGCGGCATGTCTTACGACGAATACAAAGTCCACTTCAGCATGTGGGCCGCCATCAAGTCTCCACTGATCATGGGGAACAAACTCGACCAACTGTCTCCAGAAGATTATGCGATTCTCATCAACCCGGCCGTGTTGGCCATATCACAAGACCCTAGTGTCAGCGCCGTTTCACGAACAGTCAGGCAACAGGTCGACGACAAGGACGCGTGGGGGTTCGGAGAGGTCCACGTGTGGCAGGGAAGCCTGAGCAATGGCGATCAGGTGGTCGCCTTCCTCAATGCCGGCAACAACTCGCGCACAATGTCCTATAGCCTTGTCGACGTCTTTGGCGGCCTGCGCGCAAACACGAATGCCCAAAAGAGCTGGGATCTGTTCGATGTCTGGGGCAACCAGACGGTCATGAGCACCGAGGTGGCAGCCCAGATATTGAACGGCACGCTTGCGGTGGGGAACGCGACGGGGTACTATAATGCCAGCGAGACAACTTGGGCCAGGGGGCTGAATCAGAGCAACCCCCTCTTGATTGGCACGCCGGCTGGGACTGTTCAAGGTGGTGGGATGTTGCAGGCTGAGGTGCCGAGACACGGGATTCAGATGTGGCGGTTGAGAGAGGCTGGAGGAGCAGGCAAGCGGGATGAGCTGTAACTCCTGGAAAAGGATGAGTGGGCTCTGGAGACGAGAAGCTATGACAGGAACAACTCCCTCGACCACACTTCTTAGAGCTTCGTAGCATACGTTATTGAAGGTATCAAGCTTGATTGTTTTCATACCGTTTGGTCCGAGGAATGCTGCCGATGCTATTGACGACCGACCCGAAGGACTCTCGAAACTCCTGATTATGCTGTTTATTTCATTCCGTTTGTTTTTACTCGTAAATCGTAGAGTTTTATAACGTCCCAAATAGCATCATCCATTCAATTTGTACACGGGAAAGAGGACCTGTCCACAAAGTCGTCGTTCCCAATTTCCCGTCAAACTCCTCTGTTTCGCTCGCCGCTCGTGTCTCATCCGATCTTTGCGTTCGAAAAGTCCATCTCGGGATGCTCCTTCATGAACTTTTTCAGAATGTCGTCCTTCTTTTGGTCGTCGCTCGTCGGCTTTCCCATGGCCTTTTGGTTCTGATCGTACATCATCCTAAATTTGGCAGGGCACGGCTGCGTTAGTGATTTTGATCTTCTGGCCAAAAAAACACGGCGGTGCTGCCCGGCCCTTACCAAGCGGGTTTGGTGGAGTGCATGAGCGTGAAGCATAGAGAGAGGGAGAGAGACCTGGGAGAAACCTACTTTTCGACCATCCCCCTCGTCTCGCCGTCGAGTTCGCTCAGCTTGGAGTTTTCGGGCACGATCTTTGCCGTGTCGATCTTGGGGGCCGACGTGACGATGTGCGCCCACCAGTAGGAGCCGCGGGCTTTGGCGAGCGTGATGAGGATCTCTTTGCTGCCGTCGGGCTTGGTCGACAGGACCCACGTCGAGTCGTCCGTCTGGATCGGGTGGGGGAAGTCGCCCTGTCAGCGGTCAAGAGTGTCAGTTCATCATGGTTCGGAAACAAAGTAGCGCGGCACCATGGCAGTGTTCAGTGCGCCCTAACGGGTTCGGGGAGCAGGCGTTGGTGGTAACGATGCAGCACAGCACAGCACAGCACGTACATCAATAATGGGCTCCTGCCCCTTTACTGCGACCTTGATGTGCGTCTTCTTCAATTCCACGACCAAGTCCCTCGCCTTCAGGTTCCCCTGTATGGGCACGCTGACCTCGGCCTCTTCGAGCGTCTGCGTCCATTTGTACGGCAGTTTCGCCTGCTCCTCCTCTTCGCGCTGGCGGTCTTCGGCGTCCTTGCGGGCCCGTTCGGACGGTGTCGGTGAGGGTGCGCGTTCGGCCATGTTTGTGTTGTTTTTTGCAAATTCTGGCTGAGAAATGAAAGGGGGTTGGGACGTGGGTAGCCACGGGCTTGTGAGTGACGGTGGTGGTTAAGTCGCGGTTTTCGAAGTATTTCGCTGGCCTTCCAGGTCGCGTGCGGAGAAACAGGCCCAGATGAGAATGTAGTGGAAACCGCTTGCCGCTCACCCCTCTTCAGGACTAGGGTGATGCCGCCCTATGCCCACACCGAGCTCACGCGAGCCGGGTGAGAGCGCACCCGTAGAATCACCCTCTACAGTACAGGGGCGAAAGGTCGTGCCCTCCAGGCGTGGATGGATGGTGCGATACCCGACCGCCTCGGCGTTCCACGCACGGCGATCATTGGCGTGAGGGACGAAACTAGATCTCAATCAGGCGGGCCGTTGGAAAGACCGAATCACTGTCAGGACGGTCGTAAAAAGCAGCGCCGGTAATATGGCGACGTTTTCGACCTCAGTGTCTTTGACCGCCTAATACCGCTTCGGGGCCGGAAAAAGCAAATTCTACCACTTCTGAGGGTATATAGAGGGATTCCGACCCTTGCTGCTTTCACCTCTACCTGCGCCGCCACTCTCGGAACCGAAAAATGGATCTCCCCTGGGCTGCCTGCTTGTGGACGATGTGCAGGGATCCAGGACATGTGGGCATTTCCATTGGAGGGATGCTGGTTTGTACGTCAATTAGATTTCATACCCCAAAAAAAGTTGTTGAGTAATTCCAGATGGGTGTCACTGTGTTTGGTCTGCCTCTATCCAGATGTACGAGGTTCATAGGGAGTGACACGTGGATGACAAGACACTAGATGATCCAATATACAGCACATGCAAGAGATGATGGCAATCGAATGGATCGTATTGACCGTGGACCGTAAAGTCCGGTTGAAGGCACCGGCCTGACATGTGCCCATTTATCACTTTTCTCTTTCACCGTGCTTCCGCCCGTAGTTCAGCTAACTATTGACGATGCACATGCCAGTGAAAGCACCTTGTCGATGCGACCAGGCTATTTCTTTTCTGCATTATTGAGTTCCCGAGGAGGAGGGAAAGGGGGAGGAAGACACGTGACTTTGTTTTGCTCCATCCATTTATCTATCTGCCTATCTATCTGCCTGTCTGTTGACAGTGTCCATCTGCCTGTCTGATCGAGGTGAACCCATGTCTGTCTCTCCGTCTGTTTCTGGTGCTGGACCAAAGCCTTCCTGGGGTTGCGGGGACTGGGTGAAGGGCGAAATCTTTTCTGTTTTTGGCAGCGGTGAACGCGGGTTGATATACGCACATGTACCTACCTACCGACCTGGGTAGGTACATGGATAGCTCGTAGTGCGGATGCGCGCATTGCGACGCGATACCATGAGGCACCGAGAACTGTAGGAGAAACCGCACGAAGGAGATACTGGAACGTCGTATTATATGGTTAGGTAGGAAATAGGTCAGATCATGCAGTGGAGGGGAGGGAGAGGTGGATGGCATGTTTCGGTGGAGGTGTACCCCGTACTGTACTGTACTGTTCGAGTACATAACTCGTGTCAACCTTGGAAGTGTGTATCTGGGTAGTGAGTGGTATCCTGGATTTGCTCAATACTATCAAGGTAGGTTAAATGAGTAACTATGAGGTAGGTAGCTATGTACATGCCAGTATTATGTTCTCAGTACATCCGTCGTTTGCGCCCTTACTATATATATGTCAAATTACATCGACGGCCATTTCAACCTAGATACCTACCCAGTTCATGCGCTGGCAACTATGTATATTGCCAGCTGCTGTACCAGTCAGTGGTAGCAATGCTCTTTGTTCATTCGGGTTTCGGAGGCAACAAACACATCTCCGTGCGTATCTGTGCGTATCTCTCTCTGCATGCCGACCTGTCCCAGGAGACCTCGCCATGCGCTCGCTGTATGAGGATGACTGCCTAGAAGCTTCCCCGCTCTCATCCTGGTCAACAACGTCTCCGGCCCCCGTGGGAATGGAATGAAGAATCAACCTCGCTGCCCGGTCTCCAGAATTGGTGGGAGTGCACGGACCGGTCACTATGGAAGTGGAGATGGAGGATCACGTCACAGATTTGACATGTGAAACGAATGAGCAGGCCGCGTGGCACGGGATGGGGATAGCATGGCATTGGCAGGGAGCGGCACGGGAATGGAAACTGTTTCCTCAGTACGGCATTCCGTGTGCTATTCGTTATTGATCTCCCAAGTTTTGTACATGTAGAGCGATCTAGAACGAGGTTGAGAGAGAGGGTAACTCGAGAACTGAAAGGTCGAGAGGGAAACAGGCACAAATGAACGTGCCCGAACGGTGCTTGGTACTTTTAGGCACATATTATATGCAGGGCCGTTTTTAGAAGCCGCAGGATCCACAGCTCATGCATTTTCACATGCCAGAAGGCTGTGAATGATATGAAAATCCATCATGCAAGTCGCATCTCTGGCACATCTCCATGACCGTGAGCGATGGAACGACGGGGAAGGGGAAGTGTCCTCTTATTTTCTTGGCTTGTCTCTCCAGTGGCAATTGATCGTGGAGGGCACGGCAAGTGACATGTATCTTGTCGAATGCCCGTCATCCCTGGATTACGAGGTACTCTTCACTCCAGTGCTTACCCCAGGAAACTGGATTGTTGCTGCATCATGCGTGATGGGTCAGAAAATGACTGTGCGAGGGGACTAACAGGGAAGCTACCCGTTGTTGCAGTAGCAGCAGCGGCAACAGGGGTATATGTTGCAGAATACTACTCGTCCAAGATAGTCATATCATCCCACCTCCTTCTGCATTGTCTGATAATGAAACAAGCATTGACGTCCCAGCCACCCGCGCATGTGTAACGCAAGTCATGACCGGTGGGTAGGGCGTTTCGGGCCGCAGGAGAAAGATGTCATTGCCAGAGGAGATGAGGAAGTTTCAGGGACTCGGATCGGATTTTTGTACGTGGTGTGAAGACGGCGACTTATTAGAGATGGATGTGGTAGGGAGTTTAATATCACGATTGGCTGGAATACTTCTGCAGGCAATAGTCTGCAGGGGAGGAGTCTAGCAACCTGGCACAGACCAAAGAGGACAAGAGGCGGAAGCGAGGGGGAGGCGAAGGAGAAGCGAAGGTGGTTTGGGCATACCCATGGTCAGTGTGTCATTGTCATTCCACGCAGATGCAATTCCCTTAGTAGGTACTGTTCGTCCCATACCTAGGTACCCAGCACCATGTTTTCGGGGGAGTCAGTGAATGGATACAGTGTTGCAGTAGCACCAAACGCTGCAATGAGGGGAGGGATGAGAAGTCAGAGAAATAAAGAGGGAACCAAAGACTCCGCGGCCCGAGACTGTGACTTTCTGCGACTTTCACATGCAAATTCTTGGCGGCTGCGTGGGTTGCAACCAGCATCACCAGGCTTGCGCTCCTGTCCACTTTGTCGGGCCACTGAAGCAATGCGCCCGCTGCCCTGAATGGAGGGAAGCGTAGAGCATGAAATCATGGTCCCTGGCCACCTCTGTATTGGGTTGCTCTTCATCGGTTTAATGGACTTCCGCAGCAGCTCAACAAGATTGCAGCCCTGTGGGACCCAGGCAAGCAAAGGGCAACATTATTAACCACAGTCACTTATTTAGCCCAAAGTCAAGAGCACCACCATACTTGTATTATTCTCGCTCACTTCCTTCTTCCCTTGTTTCCCACCTCGACAGAAAATACTCTCTCTGTGTTTTGCCAGTGCTGTGTCTACCTGCCCCGAGCTGTACTTGGTTGCACACTTCACATCACCTTGTAAGTATACTGACCCTCCGTTCCTGCAGCAAATTCCCCGCGCACCGCAGATCTACACCCGCCTTCCTCAACCAAAGCAAAACCCCAAGTAAACCGACGGCTTTCCTTCTTCCTTCTCTACTACTGCGTACTGGTCTGCGCTCATTTGCACACCTGTCGTCGCCGTCTGCACCTCTTCAGGCGTAACTAATACAGTGCAGTTCCTCCAACTCTCAACCAACAACCATGGGCGAAGCTACCGTCAACGGCGACGTGCCGCACTCGGCATTCCTCTCGGTAAGTGACCGCAATGGACTTTTTGCTTACCGGCACGAACATTGCTAACTCTTGTTCCATCCAGCACATACAATCATACCCTCTTGTCTCAGACTCGATCAAGACCATCCAAGAGAACCCCTACGGTGTCAAATCGATCGAACTGACTAGTGCTGGCTACACGAAATTTGTCAAGCCTACGCTGCCCTACTTCGAGACACCGGCATCCTACGCGAAGCCCTATGTCGCCAAGGCCGATGAACTTGGTGACAAGTTCCTCACCAAAATTGACGAGCAAGTCCCAATTGTCAAGGCCGAGACCAAGGATATTCAAGACAAAGTTCTGAGCTACATCCATTGGCCCCTCGAGACGGCGAATACCACCAAGGATTGGGCTCTGGATACCTACAAAGATGAATACAAAAAGTGCGGAGGAGAAGGCTATGTGGCAGGCGGCAAGGCGGTCATCACCACCTCCCTCATTCTGAGCTCTGATGTCCTCAAATGGATCAGCTCGTTCCTCCAGGCCAAGAAGGAGCAGGCCAAGGTAGTCGTCAATGAAAAAACCAGCAAATGAGGGTATCGCTGCCGACGCCATCCCCTCTCCCTTTTACAGCGCCTCGATTGCGGGAAGAGTAAGCTCACAAAGTCATGTACAAATCAACCGCACCAGCATTTGATACCCTGAGAGCTACGAGTACACCGACCGAACCCCGGTCGCCCTTGTGGCAGAATCCAAGTCCCAGAGAATGTTAGCCAGCAGCGCCACGACAATCCAGCAACCGCATGAAACTCACATGAGCAAGCGATAATCAGACGCTGTTTCCTTTGTCTTGAGCGTCCGCTGTGGTGGATCTCCTTTGCTCCTATCTGAATTTACCTTTGATAGAATTTTGTTGTCTGCGCTCCTGAAAATGCATAGAATTGGTAGTTTCCGTTGAATGAGATCAGGTTACCTCAATTTCACGCTCATTGTGGTGGCGATCGGCAGCGCAATGTTTTGTTGAGCGCGGCTGTTGGCTGTTGTAAGATTTGGTCTTTGGGCAAAAATGCATGTGAAAATGTCTGGGTTTCCGTCTTATCGTTATCAGAAATTTTCACATGCGATGATGTCGTCGGTGGAGACAGAGCCACCAGAGCTATTAACTGCGCATCTGCGCCCCCTCCGAGGCAACTCAACAATTCAAAACGGAAGATGCCAGTTTTGCAACGTGGACGACGCAAAATAGTGAGACATATTATATCGAACGAAATCCATGGAGCTCTCGGGCTCGTCTCTGCCAGCGAGTACCTGCTGATTCCCACGGGACATACCAATCGTACTCGCGTCCCGTGGACAAGACAGGACTCGCCCCCGGATATGGACTCCGCGAGTCTCCGCGACTGGCTCAGCTTACATAGGGTTTAGAGCCCGTGGCTACAAGTGCGAGTAGGTGCCTGCATGTGCCTTGTACAGAGGTATTCAGTACTCAGTAGCTTGTAATACCTAGACCAAAGTATCCCTTGAGCTTACCTTCCTTGCCTGCCTATCACAGTCCGGGGGCACGCGCACTTCTAGGTATTCTCCTCGACCCTCCTCACTTGAAGCTTCGGTCGCCGCCTGATCGTCAACTGTCCCCACGATAGATGAAATGACGGACTTCCATCGCATGATAATCTACTCTTACAGTGCTGTTAAGCTTCCCAGAGACTCCGGACGGCCACATGTCTGTACCTACCTAGACTTGTGTGACTCATCTCCGCCCAGCAGGTCAACATCAAGGCATAACTACAAAACCCTTATACATATTCCTACGCAGCGCGGTGCCGTGCAAGTGCAATATAATACACAAAGATCGAGGTAGTGTAGAGACTGTGGGTTGGTCTCCCCAGACAAAACAGGCACACGGGTCATTTTGCCTTGCATCTCCTTGCATTTCCGCCCCGTCTCTTCTCGTCTCGTCTTGTCTGGTCTGGTCTGGTCTGGTCCCGCCGCACCGGATTGAACCTTATCCCGCCTTTCAGCAAAAGTACAAGGGTAACGATTTCCCCGGGTCGCAGTCAAGACATGCATGTCCTACGTTTACTTGTACAAAATACCTAAGATGTATGAATCATTGGCATTAAAAGAGAAGAGCCTTTGCACATGACTTGCTGGAATTGATGTTCATGGCCATAGGAAAATAGATCAATGTCGGTATCTGTGTACTAGGCTGGGTTTCCTCGCCTATCTAGGTAATGAATGACCTCCTGGGTATTTTGGCAGCTACTTTTCTTAGCCATTCTTGGGATGGGGCTTGTTTGGAGATGGTAATATCGCTCGACTCACTGCTTGTGGACTTGTAGTATCTTGCAGTCATGTCTTTCGAAATTGATCCTTACAACCTCTACATCTACGACTCTGCATTCTCGGATTGAGCATGCGCCCTGAGCTCTGGAAATGTTCTACTGGACTTGCGTTCCTTGTACAGGTCTTTAGCCTACCCACAATCGATACCATGTCGGAATGTACTCGCGCTCAGTGCGCACATCATTCCGAAGGGTCTGGTCCCGACTGAGCGTCAGAGACAAGTTAGTCGAATAGGGTGCCAATCGATATTGTACGCCGACCCATACAGTGGTTGTGTCCAACTTGACCGCCGAGAATATGTCGACACCAGAGTCTTGACATGAAACGATTTTCCCTCCTGGTGTGTGAGACATCTAAATTCCTCAGCTGTAAATGCCTAATCAGGATCAGAAAGCCCCCTTGTGTGCTTGCTGATAAGCTGCCTAGGGGAGCTGTGGCTGCTCAGAAATGGGGGCGCCTGACGGAGAGATCAGGTGTGGAGGAGCGTGGGATCGAATCCGTCCGGAGAAAAGCGCCAGCCCAAGGGAGTGCAGTCGCAGGTCTCATATAATATCGGGTGGTTGAGCACTATGAATGTGTTAGCTTGCTGGGCGTACATCGCGGACATACTCGTTCTCGCTCGTGTTAAGGTGATGTACTCGTACTCGTACACCAGCCCAACTGGTCGTAGTGCGGAAGATCATTTTTCCAAGCCGCCAGCTTCAGCCATCCGCAGGTTTTCCCCATGTTCATCTCCTTCAATGCTCCACTTCCAGTCTCTTTTTCCACAATTCCTACCACGACCAGATTCACGCCTTGGCCTGCCAAACATGCTGTCCACATGGCCGCAAGACCAGCAGAAGCGGCCACTACCCTGGACCGAGTATGGCTGGAGTTCTCCTCGCTTTGTGCCACCAACCGTTGACGTCGGACCACTCGTTCTTCGTCAGGCGTACGACCCTCGCTAGGGTGCAGAGATAAGGTCGTGCAAGGGTCAAGAGATGATCAAAAACGGGGTAACATCAGGTAAGCCTCAGCCAGATAATGCTCTTTACCTGTCGAGTGATACCGCTGTTCACGCTTTGTCCTTCTGGTTATGATAGCCTGTAACATCACAGACGACATTCTTGTTACCACTCGCTTTGGACAGTCCTTTGAAGAAACGAGGAATAAACAACCCATGAACCGCCCCTAGCAAGACGTTTTCCAGAAGACGGGCTATCATATCGCTTGCCCGTGCCTTATCGTGCTCCCTCCAGTCCATGCTTCGCAAAAGGCCCTAGTTCAGTACCGATTACAGTTTGGTCAAGCTTCTCGAAGCCGGTTCATCCTGTCCAAGCAAACGGGATTTGGGTCTTATCAAGAACCTGGAAGATCTCCGTGTGGATCCTGCCTTCGGTCTCCTCCATCCAACGAGCAACGACTACCCTCTCCCGCATCGAGGTCCCGTGCATGATGTCGCCTACGACTATCGCCACGTTGCGCCGCCCTGGTCGCGTATATCTTTCTTTCTGCCCGCTCTCTGGAATGTAGTCACCTTGTGGTCGGCTTCCAAGTTACTGGCAACATGTCGAAATACGTGACAGAAGCGAAAAAGTACATACCCTCTGGGGCGACGGTCAAGGCGAGGGCGACTACTCTCAGTGCCTGGGAGCTTCCGAAGCAAGGTAATTCGGTCCCCCCGGTGGGACGAAGGCGCGGATATATGCTGACCCAAACCCGCAGAATCCGCTCTTGCACCCAAGGATGTGTGGTAAGTCGACGTTGTATAGAGGAGCGGACACTAACAGGCTAACACACTATCCAAGGACCAATGCGGATATGGATCCAGTCCCTCCAAGGTACCAGACATGGACTTTGTGGACGTGGATGGCATACTGGGCAACAGACACGATCAACCTGGGTACCTGGGAAACGGCCTCTTCTGTGCTCGCCGTGGGTCTGAATTGGCGCGACGCAATCCCCATCATGGTTGTCGGTACCAGCTGTGTGGCTATCCCCATGGTCCTCAATGGTGCTATCGGAGCCAAATTGCATATCCCCTTCTCGGTCATTGTCAGATCCAGCTTCGGATATTACTTTGCCTACTTCTGCATCGTCTCTCGGTCCATCTTGGCCATGTTCTGGCTTGGGATCCAAGGCGCCAACGGTGCACAGTGCATTACCCTCATGTTGACCGCCATCTGGCCGTCGTACGGGCACATTAAGAACCATCTCCCCAGCGATGCCGGCATCACAACGCAGGGGATGATTAGCTATTTTCTCTTCTGGATAATTCAGCTCCCGCTATTGCTGATCCCTCCGACGAAGCTGCGCTGGCTTTTCATCATCAAGCTCGTCGCCGCGCCAATCACTGCATTGGCCACTCTCGGCTGGATTGTGCACAAGGCAGGAGGTAGTGGTGCCATCTTCTCCCTCCCCGAAACAGTTCATGGCAGTCAGCGCGCCTGGCTGTGGTTGTCGTGCATGTCGTCGGTCACAGGTTCTTGGGCCACGTTGGCCTGCAACATCCCCGACTTCAGTCGCTATGCCAGGAGCTCCCGTGGCCAGTACATTCAGCTCCCTTTCCTTCCAGCCATATTTACAGTTTGCGGTGTGATGGGCATTGTCACCACCTCTGCCTCCAAGGTCCTTTATGGGGAGTTTCTGTGGAACCCGTTGGACATTATCGCCCACTGGCTGGATAACCCAGGTGGCCGTGCCGCTGCCTTTTTTGCCGCGCTCTCGTGGTATATTGCCCAAGTCGGCACCAACATCACCGCGAACAGCATGTAAGTGTGAATGTGTCCTGTCCTCGAACTAGTGGGCTGACTGGTGATAGTTCGGCCGCGAATGACCTGACGGTTCTCTGTCCCAAATACATCAACATCAAGCGTGGTTGTGTTATCGCAGCTCTTGTTGGTGGCTGGGTCATTGTCCCGTGGAAGATTCTCAGCTCTGCAACGACCTTTTTGGCCTTCATGGGTGGCTATGCCGTGTTCCTTGCACCCATGGCTGGTATCATCGCCTCTGACTATTGGATTGTCAAGCGACAACACATTGATGTGCCTGCTCTGTACGATCCTCGTGGGCGGTACCGGTACAACATATATGGCATCAATTGGCGAGCGATGCTGGCCTTTCTCCTCGCCATTGGGCCTTGCATGCCTGGCCTGGCGTGGAGCATCAACAACAAGTCGAGAATCACGGCGGGAGCGCAACACCTGTATTCTTTCGATTGGCTCTATGGCTTTGTGACCAGCATCTTTGTCTACTCGGTGACGAGTCACTTTTGGAAGCCGACGGAGCAGATCGTGGCACACACTGTCTACGGCATCCCTCAAGACCCTGATGAGGAAGAGGCGTACGAAGAAGCGTATGACGAGAAGGTTCTCCGGAAGGACAGTCTCGTGGGCAACCCAAAGAGCTTTGCCAATGTAGGAGGGATCGACGACATGGGCAGTGCCCTCCACTTTCGACGGTCTCTTGACGAGACTGCCAGGGAGAGTCTGGAGGTGATACGAGCGAGTAGGGCGAGTCAGGGTGGTCAAGGGCCACACCAGCCAGGGACTGTCCCCGCTCATCTGAAGGGTGTTGACCCGGAGGTGTTGAAGCAAACGGTTTAAAGGTTCTTAGGTTCGATTAGATTAGCATGACATGCTAGACCTTCTCATCGCCATGTGTGGTGTGCATGGATGGGATTGAGATAAAATGTTGTATCTAGATAGATTTTGTAGAGGGGGTTACCACAAACTAGAATCTGAGTTGCTGGTCTTTGTATAGATGATGTGAAAAGAGTCTGGTCTGATGGTGTGGTAGATTCAAAGTCATTGAACCTTTTGGTAAACCAGGTTTCTCTCTCTCTCTCTCTCTCTCTCTCTCTCTCTCTGTGTGTGTGTGTGTGTGTTCTCTAGGTATACGATACTACATACATCTCCTCCCCCCAATTCCCCCCTCTCTGACACACACGTTCTTTCTTTTCTCCTTCCTTTCTCCTCCTCCCACCACCCCTCCCCTTCTTTTCCCACTCCGCGCTTATTCCCCTCGCCTCGCCTCGTCGCCTCACCCTTCCTCTCCTGGCCTTTTCTCCTTCCTTCTCGACCCCCAGGGAATTTAGTGTTTAGACGTCGACATCACAAACAATAAAATGCCGCTCGACCACCCCGCCCGCGATGATCTTGCCGTGCTTGGGATCCACGGCCGCGCCCGTCAGCACGGTGATCAGCGACCCGTCGTCCCAGTAGAGCAGCTCGGGCTCGTAGTCGCGGGCCTTGACGAGGCGGAGGATGGCGGCCTCGCCCTTGAGGGTCGTGTCGAGGAGGTGTTCGCCGCTCAGGCGGTGGATCAGGGAGGGGACGTCGGGGAAGACTTTTTTTTTTTCGACAAACACAGAGTTAGTAACGCTTTTTGAGAGGGGGGGGGGATGTGTGCCGGTGTGCACATATGTAGAGAGTGAGGTGGCAAGGAGTACGTACTGCAAACGGCAATATCTTCTGTCCCCGGTATCAGCGACAGGTTATCCGCGCCCGCACCGAGTTGCTATATTCACGCGCATCATCAGTCCCGTTCTCAAAAAAAAAAAAAAAAAAAAAAAAAAATTCAGACAGAAAAAGGAATAACTAGGTCAAAAAAAGAACGTACAACTTTCTTGCGCACACTCAACACCTTGGTCTCCGGATCGACGTCGTAGACGGTCGTCGTCGCCTCGACCACGTCATTGATCAGGAGCGTCTTGCCGTCGTCAACCAGCAGCGCGCCGTTGGCGCTCGGGTGCGCGTTCGGCGGCGACACGGTGCGGCAGTCAATGTCCGACGACGACGAGGCGTTGCAGTAGACGACGTCGGTGGCCCATTTCCAGGGCCCCCAGTGGTCTTCGTGGCTGCGGAGGATGGTCGCCAGGGGCCCGCCGCCGTAGAAGTAGTGGTCGTTGGTGATGAAGAAGGAGCTGTTTTTGTTGGAACAAGGAGGAGGGGCGGAGATGGTTAGTCAAATAACTCAACAAAGACTATCTCGGGAAGCTGCGTTACCTCAAACTCGTCGCCGCGACGGCGTTGGGCGTCTTGATGGCCGGGTGGCGAAACTCGCGCTCGTACGTCAGCACGTCGGTCCCGAGCGTGTGGGAGAAGAGCACAATGGCTTCGCCTTTGCGGTCGTGGTTGACGGCGAAGATGTAGATCTGTTGGTTTTTTGCAGTCAGCGATTGACGATTGAGATTTAGACAGAGGGAATATATATCCCGTTACAACTGGGTTCGTCCGGATGGTGACTATTAGTCCAAGGACTTGCAAGCAAGGGTGTATCGAGGATCGAGGACCGCGTAAGAGACACGAATGAATGGTTTTTACCTTTGATTTATCGTCCTTTGGCAGGTAGAGATCAATGCCGTGCAAGATCAGATCGTGCGATGAGTCGAGACCCTCAATCTTCATCTTGGTCGCCTTGTCTGTCTGTGGATTCTTGTCAGTCTCCTGGGCCCTCTATCAAAGAAGCTTTGAACCCTCCGCCGCCTGGATGGTCAAGGAAGATGGGTTTTTGTTTGGTGATTGACATTACGCACCTTGATGTCGTATTTCACAAAGTACTCGTGGTAGGTGGCCGCGCTCTCGGTGTCGTGGCGGTTCATGGGCGGATAAAACGCCTCTCGCGTCTCGGGATAGCCGCATGCTGGAGTTGAAAGAATAAAGTGTATAGGTCAGATTGGAGATTCCACGGAGGTTTTGAAGCATCAGGAAAGTGAAGGGCTCGGAACCTGGGAAAACGAACCTAGGAATGCCGTCGCCGAGTCATGATGGATTCGCACGTCCTCGCACGCTTGTCCAACTGTTGTTGTTTGGCGGACATGGTCAGCACACGTACATACACGTCCGTAAATACCAAATACGCAACAGTAGTAGGACGGGGGGGAGAGTTCGGTGTCAGGTGGGAGGATAGACGGGATCTCACGAACGAGAATTCGTCCGGCACTTGTCATTGTTCACTGGCCCGTGATGCAGCCACGTCGTATGGATCTTTGCGTCCGTCGCCCGTCCACCGTACAGATTCAGCACCGGATATGGGTACGCGTAGAAGATGCCTGACAGCGCCACCAGCAGGGACAGCGGGCCAACCCAGACCCAGTTGTTTACGGCCATGAGTGGTGGTCCGAATAGACGGCAAACCGAGAAACGTTGACGTGTTATGTGAACCAGGAAGCGAAGTAGTCAGACAGACAGTCGGTGGAGAGTCTCGCTATAAGTGTAATGCGGCTGCTGGGATTGATGCTGCTGCTACTGTTCCTAGGATTGATGTCCTGTGTGCCTGTCTGTACTAGGTAGGTAGGTTGTGGTTGCTTAACCGAGTACTGTCCTCAGTATGGTGCTGTGGGTGGAGAGAAGAGGGGCAAAACCTCGGCTATGGGATGTTTTGAATCTTGACAGTAGCTTCACTGATTCATTCGTATATTAAGTTCAGTGGAGGGACGGAGGAAAAGGAAAAATCGGAGGAAGAGTACATGGGAAGCGGAATTTCCCCGTGGGTTCCTCCCCATTATTCATTGGTGGCCTCTTGATCTTGGACCATATCACTAGGCAATTGACAGCCTTATATCAGTAGGAGGGCGGACGACTTGAAAGGACAGCGTCGTGGCTATGTCCACGCCCTCAACTTCTTCCATAGACTCCCCCCAAGCTTGTCGACCAGACTTGCTCGTCTTTGCTCACGGACGTGCGGTGACGACGCTCCCGCTCCCTGCTCAGACACGTTTCTAGCCCGTCCGCCAGAGTGTGATGCCGAGACACCACCGCTCCATTGTCCCGAGACGGACAGAGCACAGCACATGGGCTGGGCCCGGGGGTGAAAGTGCTCGGGACCAAACATCAGCACCCGGGCTTTGCGGTTGCTCCATCCCTGGCCCTGGTGCTCCGTGGCGTGGTAGATGCAGTAGACCCTCCCATCTCCGTACGGCGAGGCGATGAAGCTTGCGTGCCCAGGTCCAAACGGCCCGCCCTTATCCCCGTCACTGATGAGGAGCGGTGTTGGCCGTTTCCTCCACGACGACTCCTTCAGCGGGTCCGCGCCATCGACCAGTTCGAGCACCGCCAGCCGGTAGTCGCTGGTCCAGCTCCCGTTGGCGCTGTAGATGATCCCTTCAAAGCCCGGGATGCTGACGAACGTGGGGCCTTCGTTGACGCCGTGCGTTCCTCCATCCGCCCTCTCCCACGGCAGTTCTGCTCGAGAAATGCATGTGAGCGTCTCGGCCCGCGCGAGCTCGGGATTCTCCAGCTCGATCAAGAACAGATCCTGCTGCCGGTCCGAGTAGTCGCCCAGCGGCCACCCAGAATAGCAGCAGTACAGCTTCCCCGTGCGCGGCAGGTAGAAGACGGTCGCATCGATGTTCCAGTGGTCGGGCAGGCCCTTCATCTGGCCGAGAAACTCCCACGCCCCGGCCTCCATGGGGTCCTGGCTTCGGCTGCGCAGCAACAGCGTCCTGTGGGAAGGGTTTCCGACCTCGGGATGCGCGCCGCAGAAGTAAATGTACCATTTCCCCTCCAGGTAGTGTAGCTCGGGGGCCCAGATGTCCACCACCCACGGCGTCGCCGGCGGCGGTTTCCACGCGATGATCTTCTTGCAGTTCCTAAAGTTCTCCATGCTGTGCGACATCCATATCTCGACACGGTCCCCGCAGGTAAAAGTCAGGTAGAAGCGGTTGTGCGCGGCCACCATCCACGGATCAGGCGTGTCCGTGTCTGCGATGATTTGGTTCGACATGTTTTCGCCACCCTCGTCCTGAGGGAGGTGGGATTTAGCTGTCGAGTTTTGACCCGGAACAATCTGTAAGATATCATGGCATCGTTTGCTGTCACGGGTTGGGGAAAGAATAGAGGGATAATCGTCATCGACGTAACCGACCCTCATCGAATCACGTCCCACATCGTCTTGTGTTCCACAAGCTTTTTATCGGGCAGCACAGATTACAACCTCGTTTACTCGTTACTGGCATCGCCCAGCTTGTCTGTAACTCAAATAATGTCAGTCGCTCTCGTTACATCATGAGCTGTCGGGCGGATTCAGAAGAGAGCGTGTTATCAACCCCAAGCACCCTGACTTCCAGTATAGTCCTCTCTACAAACCGCGAAACTACCCCTTGGACAGCAAGAGGATGATAGTAAGAAGAGATTGTGAAGATTATATTGTGTCTATAAACTCATTGCAGATCGTCGGGTATCATGGTCATCAGCTCATGGTCACGTAACTCGTCAAAACATCATTCCTCCTCCTCCACTGCGCCGATGTCCTTGCCAAATAAACCAATGGCTGGAGTGTACGCCGGTGTCGTAGATGCCAGCAGTTGGCTCCTTCGAGCCGCTGGCGTCGCGGGAACCAGGGATGCCTCTCTTACTGCCTCCTCCCTCCTCGACCTGGTGGACGCCTGCCTCCACGCCTGGAGGAACCCAAGAGCCCGTTTCTTCTCATTACGATGGAACAACACATCGGCGTCCTCCTCCAGCCGTTTTGTTCTAAACGCCGCATTCCTCCAATTTCTCAGCATTTGAACTGCATAGCTGGCCGTCCTTGTGGAGCGGTATTCATCTGCCTTCCTCTGATTCTCAAGGATTTGGCGGGTTGGCACAAGCCAATTCGACCCGAAGATTTCGAGGCGCTCAATGAGGTTCTTGCGGAACAGACCATCGGCTCGGACATTGGCTTCCTGGATTTGCTCGGTCTTGTTGTACATGATGATGATCGCGCCATGGGCAGTGCGCCTTGCATTTTCCACATCTTTGCGAGCCCGGAATTCCTGAGCTGTCACATTCATCTGACGCATCTGGGTGGCCTTCTCCCTCCAAACATTCAGTGCGGTCCGAGCGATGTTCATCTTGACTTTTCGTCTCATGATTTTGTATGATTCCGAGTATTTCATTTCCTTGCTCTTCTTGGTCGCGGCGCGCCATTTGTGAAAGTAAGTAAAGCTCAAAATATGCTTGCGAGCCTCTATAGCTTTTTTCTCTTCGATTCGGAGTCGAGCCTTTTCCCGCCACTTCTGAAGCGTATGTTTGCTTGCAAAATAGTCTGCTGCGGCTTCTGCCCGTCGTTCATTTAGTCGAATGTGGTCAAGATGCACCAACCATGTCTGAAGCATTTTGCGGCTTAAGTTCCCTTCATACACAAGAACAGCCTGAGTTTCTGCTTGTCGGATCTGGCTTCTCTTGGCCACCATCTTCATCAACGCATTTTCAAGTGCTTGTCGGTCACGGACGTCAGCAGCTGCAACTTCCATCTCTCGGAGGTTCGCAGTCCTCTCTTGCCACTTCCCCAGCGTTTTACGGAGGACTCTCTCATCCCTGATCTTAACAAAGAGCATTTCACGAGTAGACAATGTCCAATTCTTGAGCGAAGATGCGGCATCCCGTCGCATACGAAACCCATCCGCAACATTGTCCAGTTGACGAATTTCGGCGACTGTGTTGCGCCAATGCGACAAAACCTTTCTTGCGAGGTTGCGCAGGTACAGACTGTCTGCCACTGCATTCATAGCCGGGTCTTCATATTCCAGGTATGCAGCTCTTTGCAATTGCAGCTTGTGGCGCCACTGTTCAAGCGCTTGCGATGCCAATTTTCGGTTGTCAAGTGCGACAGCTTGTTGCCAGAGGGGGTCATTTTCATTGATCGAATCGATCGAGTCAGGCGTGGCAGGTCGCACTGGCATAGAAATATGACTGCCGACTCGGCTGTTCCGCCCTTCCTCGTAGTCGGTCGCCGCATCCGTGGATGTTCCATCGGTCGTCAACACTATGTTCGCCTCTTGTAAAACATCGAGGAACTTTTCGTTGAGAGGAATGTCAGGATCGGTCTCGAGGAGGTCAAGGAGCCACTGCAAGCACGCGTCATCGTACTGCGTCGATACATGGTCTTCTGGGAATATGGCATTGTATTCGCGTTGTAACGCAGACGGAGTGAAGCTGATGGCGGCTTCTTGGAGACGGAAGAGAACACGATGTAAACGGTCAATGTCTTCTGGAGAGAACAGCCTCACATCACTGGCGAAATGCGCCAATTTTTCCGGCGTCATGATAGCATCCAGAAAGCACCATTGTTGCAACTAACGATACTTGTTGGAAGCGACAAACGTACTCCGTATTGCGCATTGAACTCATTGAAGAGACATGAGGACCGCGTCTGATGGCGTGTGGCCTTGGCAGGGGACGCGACAGCACGTGATAGTTTGGGCTACTTGTCCGGAATAGGAAGCTGTTAAAACAGCATCTTCAACGGCCCCTTTTCCCCTTCAGCCCTTCGATGTTCTCGCATCCGATGATAATTCCTTATCGTGCATACCACAGATTCGGACCACTTGCAGCTAGGGTCTTACGGATCAGACTGCTTCTCAAGTCTTCTCAAGAGGGACTGGCTCCAGTCATTCTGCAAGAACCCCAAAATGACCAAAATATTACTCGTATGTTACTCAACGGCTGACAGATCGCGTAAACTCCGCCTCGTCTGGCTGACAACCTTCAGATGTTACTACACTAAGTTCAGTCTTCTCCAGTTAGCCAACGCGAATTCTGGGGAAGTCGGCACAGCGCCGCTGTATACCGTTTACCAGCCTTTTCCTCCTTGAGTACTTTGCTCCGAGCTCTTGGGCGGCAAGGATGACGAGGCAAACCATCACCGTCGACATCCAATCGCTACGGCGTGTTGACTAATAGCGCGTCGACGAGACCCAACCGAACCAGCCTCGTCGATCTTACCCCTGGCTCCGATGTTGACTCGAGGTCAAACAGGTCGAATTGTGCCATTCCCCGTATCTCAGGCATTGCACCTTGAGTTTGCGTAACCGAAAACGGCAATTACCCTCCTGAAAGTGCGTCCCGTCGACATGCCAATTAAAAACTGCTTTGAGCTGCCCTGCTCGAAATGAAACCGTTCAACAGCCTTCCGGTGGAGTGATTCTAGTCTTCTTCATCGAGCTGCGGTCGTCTTGTCTGAAATGATCGGCGTGAAGGACGAGAAAGGGAAAAGGTGTCTTGAATCATAAAGGTCCATGAGAAAGCCGAGTCTCGCTTGTGTGAGGTCTTGCATATGGCCGCCGTGGCGCTTATGGTGAGCTTCATGGCACGCAGGATTAAATACAGACGGTAAGGGTCCTTATCTT